TTTTTTTTTTGATGATAGAGGTTATATTCAATGCTAAGCAGAGACCATGGGCAACATCCTGGCCCCAATGAGGTCAATGGATGTTTTACATTGGCTGCAGAGATAGCAGAACTTTGCTTATTACCCACATACTCATTAGCACATCTTCTAAACCCTTGAACTTGCTGTACCGGCTCCTCCAGTGAAGCCATGTATTTTCGTGTTATGCATCTGCTCCAAACCAGTTACTTTCCAGATAAAAGCCCTTTGGTCTAGTCAGTGCATTCATACACTGCCAATATTTTCCTACACTGAGACTCAAACACCAAGACAGTGGGCTGCTAATGGTATCAGTTAAGATTACCCCTCCTCTGCCTTTCTGAAACAATCCTGCTGTGCTAAATTTCAGAGCACACAGCTAACTACCCCAAAAATCACAGCACAAGAGATCTGCTCTTTACCATATAGTAGCTAAACTCTAAACACAAATACATTGCTGCAGTTAATTGCTTCTCTGAAGGGTATGGCTGCTATGACAGCTATGTAACAGATGAAGGCCATCAAGGTAAAAGTATTGAGCTGCAGGTAAAGCTCAGATGAGTAGGGATCAGGGACAGGGCCAGGGACAGGGTGGCTGCCATGGCAGAAGCACAGAGCTCTCCTCTGGCTCCATGATGCAAACAGGAGTGCAGCCGTGGCAGTGTAAAGCCACATCCCTGGTTACTCAGTATCCCAGTGAAATGGGTTTCACAGCATCAGCCCAAAGCCTACAAATGTGCACACATTTAACATGCATTAGTAACATAACCTTCCCACACCATCTCCAAAGGCAGAGTCGAATGCAGATGGAGATTTGACAAACACTCTCTCATCCTTCGAGGCAGCACTTCTGGGATGGGTCAAGTCTGAAGAAATCCTCCCAGCTACCACCAAAGCTGCAGCTCCTCTAGGGATAAAGGGCTTCTGCTTTTAGTGGTGTCAACTTAGCATTGTTTATAAACCACAGTATTCAATTGTAACAGATTCTCTCCTCCATACTGTGAGCTCTCTGACAAGGAGAAATACACACTTGTCAATAAATACTAAACTGACATTTTTAAAAATTTCATTCACAAATTTAGTTTATATTAGAATATTCAAGTAACAAAATGATAAAAACTTCCAAACAACACGTGAAGAAAAATGTTTTTAAAAGTTACCTCAGTCTATTATAAGTATGAATGCAACATGCTTGGACATACAGACTTTAAAATTTAGCCCACCATGAAATCCAAGGAGAAAAGAAGGTTTAGACCAGCTTTCCAAACAAGTTTAAAACCTCCTTTAGAAATGTTCCCTTGTGGAGCATGCTAGTCTGACACGGGGTAAAAAGTATAAATATGGCAAGGTATGAGGCAAAGTCTGACTATAGCAGCCAACAAGGATTTAAAAATATTTAGGAGGTTTGAGAATGATCCATGTTATTCTCCCCTTGTCTCTGAACAGTGCTTCCTTCTGTACATTACTAGCCTGTCGATGAGTATCTCTGCCAAAATGCAAGAGGAATGGTGGATCCTCCATGGGACCAAAGTACAACCACAGTCAGGTACAGCCCAACTATTTCTACAATGGCATATAACACTACAAGTTGACAAATAACATGACAGTGAAAAACTGAAAGGACCTAATGCAACCAGTCAAACTCCATTCAACACCTTTTGACCAAGGGCAGCAGTTTGCAATGAACAGCCACTCTGTTTCAAAACCACCTCCTGTGCACAGCCTGCTCACTCTCTCCGTTCTCTCACACACTCACGCTCTCTGGCTCACTGTTCCTCTTCTCCTCTTCCTCTCACTGGGAGTCTCCTGATGTCTCCCTTCGCTTTGGGCTTGGTGTGGCATCACAGAAAGCAGAATCCTTGCAGCTCATCAGTATGCCTGCCCCATCGGGTTGTCACTCCGGCAGCTGCACAACTCCCTCAAGTCTCTTTCTTCATTTTCTTCCTCTTCCTCCTCTCCTTTTTTCCAGATACACCTGCCATACACACAACAGGGGCCAGTGCACAAATGTTCCATGTGCAATCACATCCCTGAGAACTGTTGGCTTTTTGCCTAATGAAGGGGATTTAAGGGTTGTTAGATGTGTTTAACAAGGGCCACCTACTTTTGAGGGTAATCCAAAGTCATGGGGAGGGCTCTGAATGTTTTTAGTGGGCTCTGACTCACTCATACACGTTTCCTTCTGTTTTGTGTTGAAAAAAATAACTGTCACTAAATGCAATCGTAGCTTTGCTCAGTAACTGAGAGGAGCAGGAACAGGTATTTGTCACAGAAAAGCCTCTGTAATACCAAGTAATGCAGAGGCTCTCAAAGAATTAACATATACAGCTAAAGGAGAAGCATTTTTCATATTCACTTAAAAATGCATTTGTGAACACTTCTCAGATTACATATTATTCTGAAAATTCATCAGATGTGCAAAAACAATCACTTACCATTACTGGGTGAATTATTAGCAACATCCAAGGATTTTTTGAAGGAAACAGAGACTGCATCACTGCTATAGTTTGTAGATATCAAGTCCCTTGGGCCTTCTTCCATTCTTGTTTGCAAACCTTGCTGGGGTTTAATTGAAACAATATGCTTCACTAAGCATACAAGTTAAACGAAATATATGCAAATACAGAATATGAGAGAAAATGTCATTATTGGGGGGCATTTAAGAAACTGTAGGACAAATTAATTTTTACATGTTAGAATATTCCTCATGAGGCATGTCCTCAACCTACCTCCTATTTATTTGTTTTAGAGGGGATTATAGTGTTGAAATTGTCTTTAATTAAGATTTTTCCCCTTGCTTCCCCCAGTGAATGGAAGAACAGCAAGAAATATTGAGATGAAAGTACTGTCACTGTGTAGTGACACTGAAGAGTAAGATGAGCCTCGTGACTGCTAAATGTCCAAAGTCCACAGGAACACTGGATGTAGCACAAGGAGTGTGATGAGCAACTTTGCAGATCTGGCTTCAAAAGTAATTTCATTTTTTTTTGTCCATCTCTGAAGGATGAGCTTGCACAGCAGCAGCATTTGGGGCTGACATACAACATGAGCTTCTTCTGGCCCTCCATAAACATGCCAGAAGAGCAATGCTGTCCTGAGGAGTCTGAACAGCACTGTTAAGATTATTCATTAAGGTACATACAAAGCTAAACCAACTAATTGGATGTGCAAGAGAGCAAGTAGCCTGGCAGCACTCTGGGAACTGATGGACTGGCTTAATGACTATGTGGATTGTGGTCAGTTAAAACCTTTTTGCTTAAAATGGGAGCATCTGGAGTTCAGGGAGCAAAATTGTCCTGAGGATCATGAGAGACCACAGTGGGTGTGACAGGAAGAGAAATGATAAAAACAAAACAAAACAAAAAAAAAAAGCTGTACAAGTCCAGAAAAACATATTCTGTGACAAGTGAATGAAATACAATTAGGACATTTTGTGGGATTCACCCTTGCATTTCTCATTTCACAGGACAGCAAGGACATTACAGCCAAGGGCTGCTCCAAAATCCAATCAACACTGTTCCTTTGCACTTCCCATCCCCAATGAACTGACACCCACCACAGCCTTTTTCGGTTGCACTCTGAGACATTTTTCTCTCAATAAGCTTTTTGCTGGTATAACATTGGCCTCTCTTTATCTTCACTGACTTTCGGGAACCACCTTTGCATTACTGTTTATATCTCTGGATGACCTTCAGCTACAGATAAAACACAGCTCAATTGTACACTAAACTTGGAGTGCATCTGGCTTTAATCATGGAAGAAAAAATGCCTAGGCAGATGAATTCCAAGTTTAGTGCACAACTCTCTGTACTGTAAAATCAAACTGTTTTGCAAATCTATTAGGGAATACCATGTTGCAAAACCCTGGTGTTCACTGTGCTCACACTTCTTTTATGGGAAGGCAGGGAGAAAAGAGAAGAGGAAGCCAGAAGACAGAGAGGAAGAAAAGTCTCCCTTGGGTCACAACATCCTAACAGAGAAGACATACCCCTCTGTTCTTGGAAAACCAAACACTACTCTTGGAATAAAAAATACTCACATGCTTCAGCCCGGATCCACCCCTTGCTTCCTTCACTTCCATTTTCTTCTTCTTCCGCTGTGTTTTGCTTTCAAGTCCAGAAGGGCAGAAGCAAATGCCTGCTTTGCCTTTTGGCAAATCCTGAAAGCATCAGAGATGTTGTAAGAGGAGTCATGGGACACATAATTCTTGGGTTTTTTCAGGAAAACCAATTACCTCCAGGAGTGTGTTCTGACAGTGCACAAGCAGGGCATCTCTCTGGATAAGGTACACACCTGAGATTAACACAGCTCTTTGCAAAAAGCTCGGCACACTCTTCCCACTGCTGCCAAAGGGAATATTTCTCTGGGCTTCTAGAAAGCATTTAAACAGCAAGCCTTCTGCTTCTACCTCTCCACCCGAGCTACCCCTGTAGCACTATCAGCAAACCCTCTTATCAGCAAACTTAAATAAATATGTCCCAGAAGGCTGGTGTCAGCTGTGGACTCCAGACCTCTTTTCAGGCCCAGGTATTTGGAAAAGTCAGCAGTGGTAGAAAGAGTTCATTCATGCAGAGTGACCAGCCAACTCCCCCCAGCCCATCCTGCAAAAGTGTCCCCCAGCTCCAGCTATCTCAGAGAGGTCAGGGGAGTGACCACGCCAAGCACCTCCTCCCAGTGTGAGAAAGCCCCTGCAACCAGAGGAGCCCAGCTCCAGGGCTGGACTGGAGACCCCAGCCTGGGTGAGACTGACCCCAGTGAAGCAGGTCTCCCTTGGCCATCAACATCACTGCCTCACCTTCTCCTTCTCCTCCCCTGTCTGATGTTCCTCATCTCCAGTCCAGTTCCCCCACTCTTCCATGGGAGCTTTCCAGTCAGAGTCCAGGTCAAACGCTGAAGGGTCATCTATTAAAGCAAGTGTACAAATGAGTTATGTTCAAATCCACACTACGTCCAGCCTCACACGAGTAGCACAAATGCTGCAAAGAATACCTGTCACCTTTCTGCTTGCCATTGGATGCGCATATATGCATCTGTCTTACATGTACCAAGACATTTACCAATGTATTTTAAAAAATTATTAAAACATACACATTGACTACTAATTCACAATTACTGACTGCACTCTTCATGACAGGAAGAAAATTAAAGAAGGATGGAAAAACACATACAGGAACAAAAGCCCTGCCAGCTTGCACTTCAAGAAAACGAGCTTTACAAAACTAATAGCATGGCTGGTCAAATATTTTCTTTTAATTCCATGGAGAAGGATTCAAGCATATCCAGAAACATTGGCAGACACAGCAAGCTCTTCCACTCACTGCAACACACCATCCTCTGTGCAATTATTTGTATGGAAGGGTAATATTAGCAAAGGATTTGTGCATACATTAATGCTCTCATTGGTGTTTTCTTTCCTATAAAAAATAGAACGAAGTACATTCTTGACTTCATCTTCCTTTTCCATTTTCTTTTTTTTGAATGTAAGCCAGAAAAACACCATTAAGCATTGTTTTCCAAACTTCTCTAACAAGCAACTTTAAACAGGCATGAAGCAGGTAACACCTACTCTGCATCAACACTGACCATGTCATGGGGGCTACGCAAAAATCTTACCAAAATCTTTTAGATTTCTGTATCTTTCAGCATCTGGTACCTTTGAAAATCTGGCTGCAAGCCCTCAGCTGCCTCTTCATAAAGGACTGGCAAGTAATCCTTAGGCAAGAAGGCAAAACAGACCAGTCTAATTCCTTCACACAAACTGAATGAGGTGCAAAAAAGCAGATAAATCAGCATAAGACGTTGAAAGGGTTACTTGGCTATTATTTAATGATTTGAATGCAACAATCCTAAGTCTTATCCTAAAAGGGAGAAAGACTTCAAAAACACAGTGTATAATAATAACTCTTAGCTGATTATGTGTCTTAAAATAAAAATAAAAAAATTTAAAAAAATCCCAAACCTGATGGAAAAACTTCTAGTTGAAGCAGGGCCAAAACCAAAGGCATGCTGGGGATGATAAAAGAAAACCGTTTCCAAAAAGTTGCTCTGACCAGTTTGCTGCCAAATGTTATAAACATGATTATAAACATTGCTCAAGTTTCTCAGTTTAAAATCCATGCCCTCTACATAGAGAGTCTTTCCTTCTTCAAAAGGAATATGAACAAGTAATTTTGAACACATTCCCCAGTAAAATTCCAGTCTAAAATAGAATTCAGTCTCCTGAGCTGCAAGGCAGCAGCTCTGCAAGTGGATGCTCTCGCGGGTGTGCAAACAAAACAGACTGTAACTTCACACATGGGAAGCCACAACTGTTGTTTTCACGTATTTAACTTCTGATTTCTCAAAAAGTGCATTAATGTACATACTTTTAAGCATGAAAATAGTTTTAATGGCAATCTGCCTGCAGTGGGCTTACATTCGTGCTTCACCCTTGTCATGTGTGGTAATGAAGCTTGGCCAGACAGTGGTGACTCTGCCACATCTCAGAATTACTCTTCCCAAACCTTTGTGTCCCAGGATGTTTAAAGTCAACTCAGAGTAAAATTAAGGGCAATATAAGATTCTTCAAAATTTGCTGGATTTGATGGGTAAATCGGGTTAAATGTACTTATCCCAAAGCTCTGGTTTAAAACCTCTCCTCTTGTGTAGCATATTTCCCTTCTACAGTGACATGTCTCACAATGCCTTTAAACTTTGAATACTCTCTAGTATTTTTAAATCAGCAACTGATTTTCCTTGGGTCAAAAATTCTCTCACAGTCTAAAATTGATCAGTAATTTCTGTGAACAGGAACACTAAAAGGAACATGCCATGCAGCAGCAAGTCCCCCTGCTCCCCATATGGGCTTAGCACTAATGGGGGTGATATCTCTCCTGATGCAAATATAGACCAATATCTTGATAATTTCTGGTGTTCCTTTTTACAAAAGCAAGGCTGTTACATTTTCCAACTAGGTTCTTGCTTGCAACCCACCTCAGTCCCCCAGCAACTCCACCCAGACAAAGCTGTACTCTTCTGCTGGCAGCAAATATTTACAGCATGCGTTTCAGGGCCAAGGTGGTTTCCATATACCCCATGCAATGAAGACACTTTTAGATCCTGAAAGGAACTATGTTGAAGGTTTCTTCAGAAATCAGGGATGCTGCCAGCACCTCTGCAGACAAAAAGTCCATCCCAGCACCAACCACCTGAATGCTCTTGATCTCCAGTCTCTCTCTGTGTAATGCTGAGGAGCAGCCAGTTGCACCCTGGGAGGTGTTGGGGAACAGGCAAACAGGGCCCCACAGTATCAGGGTCTGGTCAAAAAGGAACAGTCAGCAAGTTCTCTGTGCCCGCTGATAGACAGGGTGGAGTACAGCACTCTACAGGCTGACCCTTGTTATCTGGCCTGGAAAATGAAACTGGAAAGTACTGCAGCAAAACTCACTCTATGTCGTTGAGACAGGGATTCAAAATTTTCTAATCCAGAGTTGTACATTTGGATTCTGATCTTCCAGCATCCCTCTTGGCATGCTCTCCCTCAATATGGGCAGCAGAAACCTAAGGGAGGTTCATCTGGCAGGGCAGTTCCCTCAGTAGGCTGCATATTGTCCATGGCATTGAGTCTGTGGCTGCTGTAGAAAACCCAGCCCTTTGCAAAGGGCAGTTGACTGTGTGATGAGCATAGTTCTAACCCAAATTCTTACACTTGGAGGCCAAGTGTAATCCACTCAGTTCAAATGGATAGATAATTTCCTGTCTAAAGCTTGCATTTCTGTGTTACAGATCAAAACTATTGCTACCAATAGCTGGGTGTAGGATTCCCTCATTTGGCACCTTTCATAATTCAGTAGGGGCAAAGTATCAAATAAATCCCAGACTGAAGACTTCTTTTAGTGGAAAGAAGCTATTGATTCTCATGAAACAAAAGAATTAAAATTTATTTTAACTCCAGAACAGAAGGAAGGATGGGAGTCAGGAAACATAGGGTCAAGAGGCATGGGAGCTTTCTTAAGGTTACAGAGAAAATTTGTGTTGGCAATCAAGAAGGACTCATTGGGAAGATGCCAAGACACAGGTAAAAAGCGACTCTCATGGTCATGAGGCATTGCATTTGCAAAGCAGAATGTGAGTTTTCTGAGACTGCCCTGTGCTGTTGCCAAAGGCCAGGTCCACTGCACTTGGAAGCAGATGCATGGGATAAAATTAGTATTCGCTTTCCTTGGAACCAGACACAAGTGCTCCAAAACAGCCCAGCCAACTGCGCCGTGTGGGTTACATGTTTTGTAACAGCAAAACCAGCCACAGCTTATGATGCATTCTGTGAGACAGCAAAGCATAAGTACATAAATGTCACCAAAGGGGCAGTGGCAGATGTGTGGTATAGGTGCACAAAGGTAGGATTGGGAAACATAAGCAAGTAAAGCTTCCAAGGCAGAGGCAGGAGGATCCAGAACAACCCTGCAGAAGAGGCAAGAAAGATGCCTGGCAAAAGCAGAGCACTTTCTGGATTCAAAAATAAAGTGAATTATGCCAGGACCAGAAGAGGTTCAGCCCTCTTTCTTTTCTGTTTGTGGCAGGAATGAAAAGTATGCAAACACTAATGATGAGCAGGGAAAAACGATGATGAAAAACACTTCCCACTTTGGGGCCCCCTTCCCTCGTGGAAGAGTCCTGGCCACCTCAACCTGCTGGTGGGACTACTGGGACTGCAGCCATCAGTGTTGACCATGTGGCTTCAGGTCCAAGATACTGAATGCCCCCAGACAATGAAGGCTTAGATTGCTAAGGACTGATTGTTTGAACACGTAGAGACAATGACTGATGACAGAATGAGGATTTCAGAATTGATGAGGTTGGAAGGGGCCTCTGGGGATTGTCTAGCCCAACCCCATGGCTCACAAAGGGCTCAGCTGTAGCAGGTTGTTCAGGAATGTAGCCATTAGAGTTTTGAATATTTTCAAGGGTGGAGACTCCGTAACCTCTCTGGGCAAACTGTTCTGTTGTCTGACCACCCTCACCATAAAAACAAAGCTGGTAAGTGGAAGTTCACTTCATACTCATTGCCTCTTCTCCACCCTCTGGGCAGACCATAGGCAACCACCTCATCAGGTTTTCACACGCATGGATCGCCTCTGCTGGACCCACTCCAGTATGTCCATGACTGTCTTGTACTTGGGAGCTCAGAAATGGGCACAGCACTCCAGATATGACAATAATTAAGAATTAACCACCAGCAGCGTGTATCAGTAATGAATGTCAACACAGCAGTGTGTTGTTTGGAAACCAGGCTGATCAATAGTCTTTTTTCACTCCCATATCGCAGTTCTCTAACCACTAGCTCCCTCTCTACCTCTATGGATATATGCTTTCAGTTGTGACAATACTTTAGCCTTTTGACAACACTCAAGCCTTTTGTGAGTGATGGTGTTATTATTGCTGGTACTTTACAAAAAGATAACCTGATGTGGAGTGGGGAGCCGGCCAAGGCAGCTCTGCCGGCTGGGGCAGGAGCAGGAGTCCAGCATCCAGTTCTTTTGGCTGCACCAGCATAGAACAAAGAGATTCAATACATGTACTACTCTGGATTTGATAAAATGACCCCAACTTGTACTGAGGTTATAAATGGCTTTTTTTTTTTTTTTTTTTTTTAGTTTCCAGGCCTGCAAGAGCTAACAGGCTGTGTTTGACTGTCAAAGAGCTCATTTTGCCTGCAGCACCGACCTTAATGCCAACCATTACCTCATCTAAATTCAGGGAATACATGTTCGTGACACTCCCCTCCCCTGCATCAATATCAAGGCTGATGATTCAAAGGAAAGAAAAAATACCAGGACGAAGAAGCAAGCTGTAAGGCAGGCAGAATAATCCTTCCAAATGCTTCTGTTCAGATGTTTGCAGGAGCAACCTGCTGAATTTGCTCCTATCTGTTCTGGTCTCAGACAGACATGGCACTCAAAAAGTGGAGCTCTGCCTGGCTTTGCAACTGCAGATCAAGCCCAGAGTGTGCCAAGTCTGACATGTGCTAGATGCAGTGCAAGGGAACGCTGCTGATGAGCTGCCCACGCTGCCTCCCTCCATCCCGTGCAGGCGAGCCAGGCTCCAAAGTTGGAAAGGGCCAGGCACCCTCTTGGAGCAACGCCGGGATAAAGAAACACAGCACTAAGGAAAGGGAATGCTTGGGGTTGGGATTTTTGTTTTTATTCTTTTTAAAGCAAACAGTGCTATTTATAAAATCACGGCCAAAATGATGCATCTGCTGCAGAGCCTCAGTTACCACAGGGCAGAGAAGCAAGACAACCACAGTCTTTTCTCCTTAATGCATTCCACCACTCTGGCTTCTCCTACAGTTGAGCAATCAGAGCAGCTAGAGTACGAAGGGGTTTGCTCGCTCATCAGCCATCATGCCTGCAAGAGCAGGAAAAGGCCTCCCAACAACAGGGGTATATATAGATACTTCCCTCAATCCTGGCCAAAAGGTCAAGAGAAAAAGGTCATCTAATACCCACACTGTTCATGCCAAATTATTCCAGCTACTCAGGACCCACGCTGGTCTTTCAAGCAGATTTTGAAAGTAAAAAACCCTCATTACCAGTCATAAAAAGACTGAAATCCTGATTGCCACAGTGCACTGGAGGTGGATTCTGCATCTGTGTTCAGGGTATTACCAAGGAAATTTAAAGTTTAGGCAAAGGTTCTCTGAGCTCTAGAAGCACCCTGTCTTTCCATGGCTCTCCCCTAGCCCAGACTGCAGTTGCCTGGAAAAGGGCCACTCAGCTCCACCTTCCCACAACACGATGGGAGGGAGGGAAACGCAATGCTTCAGTTATGAAAACCAAACACAACTTTGAACTCATTTCACAAATTTAGTAATCTGAGTTGACTGCTAAACATGGGGTTTTTTTGAAATGCAGAGCCTATCCTGATGCATCTGGCTCAGGAAGTCCCTGACCCGCTCTCTGCAGGGTGTGGGGAGGGATCGCCCTGTGCTTGCCCTGTTCCTGTGCTTATCTACCCACAGCTGATAGCAGTGCAACTGCCAGAGGACACCACCACAGAAGCCTGCAGACAGCCTCCCTACGGCTGCTCCTGCTGCCCAGGAGCTCTAATTGCACTTTGCACAGCAGTATGTGTGCTCTGAAAAAGATTGTACTTTCTGCGTCCCTTTTTTGTCATCTTCTGAGGAAAAACATAAATAAAATGCATGTTCTCGCTCTTCTCGAGGGTCCCATGTGGGCGCCTCCTGCCTGACTGAGCTCACAGCAGCTCTGAGCACCTGCCAAAAACTAGACCAACACTGGATTTCTCCCTTATCTCTACCAGTGAATGAGCCACATGGGAAGTGGCTCCTGATTTCTGAGGCTTAGGAAACAGACTAAAAAGAGTATCAGCATTAGTACACTTGCCTTTGAACAGAAAAAGAGCAAAGAGACATACCCTGCCCCTGCCACACATCGTCTGTAGGGAGGAAAGTCGAGGTGCTGTGCCAACAGCATCTGGAAGGACTGTCCTCAGATGATTTACTCTTCACGTTATCTGCATATAGCAAAGTGTCCTTTTTAAAAATTAAAACAAAAACAAAACAAAAAAACCCCCCCAAACCTAAAAGATAATCACATAGGTATATTCACATTATTAAAACCAATTAATCATGCCTCTATCTGCTCACTATGTCACAATGCCTAGATGTTATGTAATTTAAGCCACACATTAATCTATGCTGCTCATCGCAGTGGATTTATTAGCAAAGGCTGGACGAGGACACTACATGCATAAGTTATTAAAAACAACTCACTCAGGAGTGGCTCCACTAGCAATAGTAATAAAATGTTGGGGACCTAAGAAGGAAGCTATAGTTCCTGCAGAACAAAAGCCACATGCAGTGAATCCAGCTCCAACTCCCACCACCTTCAGTGAGAAGGTTTCTGCTCAAGCTAATAGAAATCCATAATTACTAAATTAATTGCTTCATGAAAGAGAGAGATGAGAGAGCTGCTGGGGGAAAAAGAAAAAATTTTTTTGATGATTACTTTCAGCAGCTAAAGTAACCAGTAGGATTCACATACCTCCCTGAATGACTCCCCTTAACCCCTTTCTAAGGCCTGTACATAACAGACCAGTGTTTTCTTCACATCTTTCATAAATCAGGGAGATTTTTTCACATCTCTGATCTTTCTTTTCTTCCTATCAGCTGAAGAACTCCCTGGTTTTGTTCAGTATCAGCTTGATTTTTTGCTGCATAGATGCAGATGTTAACAAATATTTCTCCCTGTTGATTACTTGTACATTAGGAACTGCTTCAATCCATTAATGCAGTGTTGGAAAACAGATGATTAAATATAGTATATATTATATTGATTGCCATGTCTGGCTTTAGATGCTAATTTCAGCATTCAGGCTAACACCACACACGCTGTTTTGTGCACAGATGTATCTATGCTTGCCTTTAGCAAAGATTCAGGACCAGACTTTGCATTCATGATCCAGTTGAACTTTCAGACAAATGTGAGTTTTTGGTAGGCAGGGAATGTATGACCCAGGAGCGCTCCAAGTCAATCAGTGAGAAGAACTGACAGTTACAGAGATGCAAAGTGAAAGCCAGAAAAGAGGATCAACTTAATGCAGAACCAGTAGATGTTCCATCCTTCTCAAAGCCACTCACGGAGAGGGTCAACCTGAAAATCCCTCACTGTGATGTATAGGAAGGTGCTGAATAGGCAGCATCTGACAGAGCTTTTCCAACCTGGGCATTCGCTCCCTCCCTCAATCTGAAATTCTCTGAATTTTTTGGTCATCACAGCACAACAGAAACCATCTGTGTGAGTAAACCCAACAAAAAGAATTTGCTGGGGAAGCAATATTTTTTTTTATTTATTCCAAGATAAGATACGAGTTTGGAAAGCACTCAATAAAAGGTTGTGATGTCACTCTCTAAAATACTGGTGTGCTGGATTGCAGATGCAAGCAAGCTCTGCAAGGGAGAGTGACTAATGAAATGTGGCTCCAGGGTAGAAGACCCATATGTGATCAGTGAGAGCCCTTTTAAGCCAAGCTTCTAAGAAAGTGATAGAAGAATTCAGATAAAAGTCCAAAGAGAGACCACTCACCTAAATCCCTGGACAGATCTGATAACGTCCCAAAGGTCACAGGACAGGATTTTACATCTGCAATATCCCATGTTCCTGCATTTAAAACGCAAACAAACAGTAACCCTAAACCTGATGTCATGTTCACAGCTGGTGGCAGCAGTTTCTATCTCGCTCTCCCAATCTCATTACAGGCCTTCTGTGTTCTCTCCATCCCAAGCCTGCATCCACTGCTGTTGCTGAACAAGAATCAAGCAAGGAGAAAACACCTTTATGGTGTCCAGCTCCATCACCATGCACACCTTCTCAGCCCTTCAACATGCATGTCACACCAGCATGGCCCTTCTCTGGACTTAAATTCCTCACTCATCTGAACTGATGTCCCCTTTATGCACTGGTGGCAGAAGTTGTCATCAAGTATCAGCTGGAATTTGGCCTTTTGAAAGCATTAGAGTAAAAATGGTACTAATGTCCTCCCCCTATTGACCCTATCAGCAGAGAAGACAACTCATGTGAGAGCAACCTAAGAGCATTTTCTGAATCACCGGAATACTGGATTACTGCTACTGAAGGTGAGTCATCATATGGCCTTATATACCAATCAGTCCAGCCATCACGCTTTGTTAATCAGAAAATGTAGTCAAAACCAAATGCTTTTTATTTAGGAATACCCTACCTCATAGTGCTTTGAAACATGTGGATATATACCCTGCAGTCTAACTCTGACCATGTAAGAACAACCTCGGACGGAAAGGCTTTGGTTCCAAGGGGCCAAACACGAAATACCTGTGGGTAGAAAACAACTTGCACCCTGCAGGTAGTCTACAACGCAAGAAATTCCTGCCATAAAGACCCCTCTTTTCACACTGCTGGGAAATAAATGACAGCTAGCAGGGTGCAAGGGGGGTGGACAACACTGTGTGTGCAGGATGAATGTCTGATGGAAACAGCAATTTGTGAAGCTTTCCCTTGGCAATGCTTGAATGCCCACACTCACCTACGTTGGAGAAAATATCCTCTTCTGACCGGGAGGGCACTGATTCTTCCCGTGTGGCTCCTGAGGCCTTCAGCGTGGCCCCACACTCTGCCTTGGCAAAGAGAGCACCTTTTCCACCACCACTGGTGTCCCCTGTGAGTGGCCACACCGCTCCCTTCTCATCCCAGTCAAAGGCTGGCTCAACCGCTGAGCTACCCAGGGATGCTCTGCTGGGGTCTTCTCGGGAATAAGCATTACATAATTATTTTTAATTACAAGGAAGAGTTTTTACTGAAGAAACAATAGAACAAAGCCTGTTCTAAACCCGTCAGAGGTAATGGCTATTTCCAACTGAAAGTATTTACAGATACGATTACAGTGAAGCAGAGTGCCTGTGATGGGACTCTGAGGCAGCAAATATGAAGGTCATGTGAGAAAAAAGGCACCAAAGAGGCCTTCCATGTCCCTTCCTGAGTGCAAGGGTGGTTCAAGGCCTCTAGAGTCCAGCTGGAGACCCAGAGCAGTGAAGGGAGGGAAAGAGAACAGCTGGACCTCCAAGGAACAAGAAAGCAAACATCTTGGATATTGCTAGTTCAAGGCTGCTAGAGAAATCAGCGCCAGGCATATGGATATTTTAAATAATGACAATTATCTCCAACATATTTTGCTTCAAAGGACTCCTAAAGCACTTTATGACTCCAGCTTTCAGAACAGCAAAGCATTTTCCTGGGTCTCCAGTGGAGAGGGGACCACTGCTGGCAACAACGCCACCTTCACTCACCTTAATGCTGATGCTGCTGCTTCTCTTCTGATAGGGAACAGCAACCCGCACTTAGCAGGGTTAGGCTTTCTTCCTAGAATACATCTCACTGCTCTGTAAATGCCCATACTAACATGATCACTTGGTTCAGCATCCTGGACAACCCAGGATCCAGGATCCCACCAAGGGCTTCCTTCAACTACAACTTGATCTACTGAGCGCCCTTTCCTGGGTCAGCAAAGCACTTAATGCCTGCATGACCTTAGGGTTAAACCATGCATGGTTAACCTTCTGCATGTGCAGCTGGTAACACCCATGCCAACAGGTCAGTTTACATGAAGAAAGAAATATGGAACCATCTACTTTGCTGGAAAGCAAGCAGAGACCTCAGCATCTTAATCCCTTAGAGACTCATCCAGGTATTTAACTGTTGATAATCCAAGAGTTAAAAATCCAAGCTCTTGATTTAATAATCAAAAAGTAGTCCTAAAATGTCTGTATATTTTCATATTAAAATTTGCTGTTCATTTTCCTTCAATTTTAGTAGAGCATCTGAGAGCACTTTAAGACAGTCTTATTGCAGACAGTGCACAAACTCACACACATATATCCAGCTGCAACTCCCAATTCCAAATTCCTATCTTAGCTGTATAAGCTATATTACTGTAATATATTAAATTTACAGGTTATTTTGATTATTTTATCACAATTAATGAAAACACTTTCAAATGCCTTAATTCCATGACCCGTTTCATATAGTGGTTATTACATATAGCATGATTAGTAGAAATGTATGTAGGTATAAGTGCATGGCAGACACCTTGAAATACCCAGAGGAAAAACATGGAATGAGCAGAAAGTGTTGTTTCATTTTACCTCATTAGGATAAGAGTATATCCCCCTGTCATAGTTCTTTACTCTGGGCAGGCCTGGACTAAAGAACCTGTTTGGAACTGAGCAAATTACATGGGTTTTTATACATCCATTATCAGAAAATTTCTTCTGCCGAGCCAGGCAAAAGTAAGTAACCCACACAACACCAATCCTTTAGTAGATCTCAGATCTAACAGACACCTGCTTTCAGTGTCCTGTGGGTAATGCTATGTGTTTTAATGAGAGCCTGGAGTAAAAGGCAAGCTCCCAGGTAAGAGCTCCCAAGGCTCTTTTCTAAAGTAAATAGCCTCAGTAAGTGCAAAGACTTTGCTGTCAAATGACAAATAGAGCAAACAGAAAGATGCTGGGAAGTGAGGAGGGGTGACAAGCCTGGCCAGATCAGGTGTGTGAACTGAGCCTGTACATTTACCTTTTTGTTTCAGCCTTTCCTTCCTTAAGTGTCTCTTTTCACGGCTGCTGATCTTGGTCTGCCAAACTCCTACAACAGAGAGCAAAGTTCATTTTCAAGCTAACAAAGAACTTCCTTTATTGGCTTTACTCCTTAGCCCAAGGTGAATAGCTATCTGATTGTTTCTGATGTTGACTGTAAAAGTGGTTGCAGGTCTCCTGCAACATCTCCCCTGTGTGCAGCCTTTGCTGCCTCTGCAGAAATGTGTTACATAAGAAATCCCCATCACAAACCTGTCTGTCATGTGTCCTGACCCACATAACTGCACATATTCTCCTGTCCTGTGTGTCAGCTGATGTGACACCCCTTTCCCTCAGGGGAGATGTCATAGCAGAGCATCAACCGCCTTGTATATTTGTCAGCAGGGAGAAATTAATGAAAATCTCAACTGTTAAATAAGGTTTCAATTTACTGGGTTTCTCTAGCCCTGAACATACTCTAAGACTTGTTCTGATGTGTGGACAGCCTCTACCACTCAGCTGGTTTCCACACACATTTGTTCACACCAGTGGGGCCACATTCTACCTCTGTCCACGCTCTCCATGACCCAAGAAGTCAGAGGAGGGACCTGCAGCACAAATGGTTAATGAAGAAAAAACAGAGTCCCTAGATTTGACCAAGACAAACACTTTCTTTTTCTGAAGCATCCACAAATAACACATGAAACAGTTCAGCTGGCTCATCCATTCAGAAAAACTACAGATCCATTTGAAGAAAGCCTCTACTGTGTCCCCTTTTCCCCCAGCAGCTTTGCAGGCCCTCTGACACCAGGCCCGAGGAAGGACTCCGGACCAACAGCAAGCAAGGGCTTCTTTTGCTCTCACCACCACACTAATCACATTATAATCTTTTAAGCCCAGGAAAGCTTAGAATTTGTTGTTTTCAATATTACCCTTGGTGGGGGAAGGCACAGAGGGGCTCATGGGATGCAATGTATTTTCCAATGAAATTCTAGCTGCCTGAGCCTTGCTGGCCTCTGCCAGATTTCTCTGTAGATCTGCTTGCAAACAAAGATCTTGGCTCTGCTCACTGGCATGCTAGAAATTGGCTGTATATTACCCCAGTGCCTTTACCAGCCTCAGTCACGGCACAACAATACACTGCCTGGGAAGACCACAGCTCCAGCTGCACAGGATCAGCATAGCAGGGGCCACAGGAGTAGAGGAAGAGCATGAAGACAGGACCTTGCTGCCCCATGGGCCTCTGATCACTTCAGAGATGCTTCTTCACCTGCAGATTTGCCACCCTTGTGAAGATGCTCAGGATCTGAGCAGCGTGGCAGGAAAGCACATGGCCCCTGTCCACGTTGTAAGAAGCAGGTGATAGAAACAACTCTCAAACTGGCAACTTTCTCCAATAGTGCAGAACACTGGAACAGTTGAGAAGACCTCCCTGTTGACATGTTTCATCCTGTGTTACTGTTTCGTAATATACATCAGGTAACAGAATAACCAAATCTTTTTTTACCTTCCTCTTCTTGCGGTTTGTCTTTTTCCACAGAAAGCAGATCTTTTGGCACCTCCTTGTCTGAGCACTGGATTTTCCTCTTCTTCTTGGGCTACAGTATACAGGAGATACACAGCAGAAAGATAAAACAGGTATTTGTTACATTTAATCATGAAGAAAAAGAGAGTCAGGGCAGTAGTTTTGAAAGGGAGACCACCCATGGTACTCAGAGAGAACAAGAGGTTGCTGGAATCCTTAAATGGGGGCAAAAGTCTTCCTGAGAAGATTTTATTGCAAACTCCAAACCACTAAATGCTATCACTTTGGGCCTACAAATCTTAATTTATCTGCTAGATTAGAAAGCTCACATTTTTATTCAGGTACCTGCTCTGTAGAAGATTTGCATTCTTCATTTCTAAGTCCTAATTTTCTGCCTATAAAAGAGAAAAGTCTGAAAGTATTTACCCCCTTCAAAAGCAAGAATGCTGAAATCAAGAATTAGGACCCTACCAATGCTTAAAAAAAAAAAAAAATCAAGAACACCAAAACCATGGAACAGCCTATTTTTAATGAAGGTATCTGTAGTTTACACTAATCTGAAAGGGCATGGGAGTAGCTGAGCCCATTTTCAGTTGAAACAGTAGAGCTGTTTCAACTCAAACTTAAGCCTTCCGTTTTGAATGTTGTAGTTTAAACACAGTGGTTCTTGACTTTTCCAAGATGGGAAACCCCTGCCAGAAACAGTTCCCTGGCCAGGCTCAGGGGCTGCTCCTCATTTAGAATCATAGAATCACTGAAAGGCTTAGGAGGGACCTTAAAGATCATCCAGTTTCCACTGCCCTACCATGGCAGGGACACCTTTCACTAGACCAAATTGCTCAAAGCTCCATCCAGCCTGGCCTTGAACACATCCACAACTTCTCTGGGCAACTTGGAAGTTGGAACTTGGAAGTGTCTTGGCACTGACCCTTTCCCCCACACCAGTACGACTGCTCAATGCCCAAGATAAAACCCTTAAACAGATCCAAGGACACGTATCCTGTCAGAGCTGGAAATGGAATACAGGAGATCCCAGCACACACTTGGGCTTGGATGATGAGACCATCCCACTTATGGTGACAGTGACAATCACTACAGTGTGACTGTGCCAGAAAATTACATGGTCTTATATTCCTAAGTCATCCCTTAAGTGCACCAAAACCAGGAAGAAAAAATTACCTTAAAAAAGGGAACATTCTTAAAACAACTGTCTCTTCAAAGACAACATATAAACTCTAAAACTCTTGCTGGTACCTTGAGGAGCTTTTTCTCTCTGATGTTGACTGATGTGATAACTTGGCCATTTACTGGGACCTAGAAGATGGACAGTAAAAAAATGTATTATGGAATATATACATGCATGTGTTTGTATGTTTAAATATACATGTAAATACAATTACTTCAAAACCTTCCTATAAAACTTATAATACTCTGAAAGACACAGCTAAATAACCTGCTGTACAAATCTGGGCTAGAATTTCTGGCCTTGTTCTAATTGGAGTAATTTATTCCAAATTAATTAGTGTTAGCTAAGCCTTTATGAATGTAAATCCAGAAACTCCACACAGATTTATTCCAAAGCAGACATATTTGTGGTTTATCCTAAGATTTGTCTAGGATCAAAGTTGTTTTTCAAATAGGGTAAGCCTGTCTTAAAACAACAGCATAGACAGGAGAACTCTTATTTCAATTCTTGTTTACTGGTTGGGGTGGACCTTATCAAATCTATCTGACCAGCTAAAAGAATGGCTTTCATCCTACCTAGACCCTGTAAAGTAAACAATGAAAGTTTAAGGACTTTTCAAATTATGGTTTGATTAATGTCTCAGCTGTCTCAGAATTCCCTGGCAATGGCCAGCCTCCAGATACAGAGATGGGAGAGTGTAAATCTGCAGCTGACACAGCAAGGGCTGTGCCAAAAAGGGCCACTGTACACTATGCAGAGCCAGCAGCATCCAAGACAAGGCAGAACCTCCTTCCACTTGTGGCTGCTCACCCTTCTCATAAGTCATCTCTGTCCATGAGACACTGTGGCAGTGATTAGTTACCAGCAAATAAAATCCCCTGGGTGACTGCCCATGCCTGTCCCTGTCAAGCTCAGTGGGGCAGCAGTCCTTCAGACTGTTAGTGCTCATCTCTTTGGTATTTTGGGGATTTCAGAGCTATTTTTCACAAGTCTCAGAAAGGTCTAGTTTGAAGTGCAAGTTAAAGACAGCATGACAGGCACCTGCATGCTGGCAAGTGCTTTGTCCCTGGAGGTGCTTGCTTGGAATTCCAGACCAGTTACAAGCCCGTGGTGGACAGGGACCCAGCAGGCTGGTGTTCATCTGATGTACCACAATTAATAGGAGGGAAAGCTCCAGAATTGTGGAGTTTGCACACAGACAATACTGATTCTAGGTCTTCCAGTAAAATATCACAGTAACAGGAGACAAAACCCCTGCCTGTTATATCAGTAATTAATTCCACCAGCTTCATATTATAAACTTAAGCCAAAGTGGTCCACATCTTTTCCATCTCCCTTAGCTGTCAATTACAAACAATATTATTGTTACAATTATATTGTTCTGAACATTCACTAGCAAAATAATTACTTCTGTGTTAAAATCCATTACATTTTGTAATAGCTAGCAAGGCCATTTTGGATTTTCCCACGGGCAGTCATCTCTCTTCTAAGACTCTCAGGTTCATTTACTAGAGGCACTCCATAAACCCCACCACAAAAGAAACCATTTTCCATCTCCTGCTCTGTTCAAGGAAAAAATCCCACTCTACCTGCAGCAGGAAGGGAAGTAGCCTCTCACATATGATGTGGGACATAAAATACAAAACCAGGAGTATTTGCTGAAAATTTGAACCATGTGGAAATGGAAAAACCTGAGCTTACACTATTCCTTGTTTCTCAGCATATGCTTCTGTCCACTTTAATGTGTGAAAATACAAATAAGATCATGTCTTAGTGAAGAACAATTCCTATGCAAAATGGAATATGGGGGGAGGTGACTTTCCACTATATGACAGAGGACTTCAGGAAAGCTGAATTTTATGTGATAAATACAAGAAGGCATTACTGGGGGAAGCCACACAACATGTAAGTGCAATATTCCTTCCTAGTGTCATCAAACCCTGATGATTTCCCGGTTCTCATAATGAAATCTAAAGGCTTTGTAAATGGACCTCCCAAACGAAGGCACTTTGAGCAAGACTGCCACCGTGGGCACAGAAACAGCAGTGGCAACTTAGGAGCAAGGAGGATGCTCTCTTGCCTTCTTTCAGACACATACAGAGGATAAGAGACATCCCACCTCCTGTTAGCCTCTCTTTACGTCAAGATGCTTCTGCAAGTATAAGAGACTACAGGCAAAGACAAGGAGATGTCAAGATTAAGGACATGCAACTGCCTTCCTGCCCTAGGCTGCCCTAACGGAGCACAGCCCAAGGCTGTACAGAGCCCTGACGTAGGCAATGAGAACTCCAGAGGGAAAATGTTGAGTGCAACAGAGGATTAAGGACGATGGAAACTATATTGACTCTGACAGACTTGTCTCAGCTGGGGCAGGATCACGTTCCTAGTCTTTCTCTCCGTATAAATGACAGCAAGCAAGAAGCTGGAAAAATTGCAGCACTTTGTTTTAGCTCTTTGCCAACCTGACTGTTTTTATACGGGTAAAACCTGTATGCTTTTACCAGACAAGCACAACATTTACTACTTAAATGTTATTTCATCTGCTAGACAAACATCCCCCTCTCTCTCCATTACTGACTAAGAGGTTAAAAATATACTGTTGACAGTCATTTACTATATTCCAGGGGTCTTCATGGTGACTGACTGGCTGCTCAGCCCTAAGTACCCACCTGGGACTCTTGAACCTTGTTGCATCCTTCCTAATGATCACCTTAGTGCAAAACAATATCACACTTGACCACTGACTGATGCTCTCACCAAACAGCCCACCGCGGTGATGGTCTTCTTTCAAACCTGAAATATTTGTTGCTTCTTCACCGTCCTTCAGTATAGCAGCATATATAATATATATAATAGCAGTAATTCCCTTCCTTTCCTCACCAAGAATTTTTACTGAGTTCTACTTCCTTTCAGTGGAAAGGTATTATGTTAGCCTGACCTTTTGTATCAAATCCTGCCTTTATCCAACCCCTTTTCAGGCAGTAAGCTGGCTGTGTGGCTGAGGAACCCCACCCTACCCTATTCTTCCCTTTCGAAGCCCTCAGGGTAAGGGATTAGTCATGCCTCTTTATCATGCCGTTTGGCCATTCTGAAAAGGAAAAGGGAATTTTCATTATTTTATTGCATTTAACCTAATGGAATCATTAAAGAGAAATGAATATTGTCAGGGTAAATTTTTTCTCAATGAAAAACGTAGTTTTGTACAGGGAAAACACATCTAAACCCACCACATAAAGTGACTTTATAAAGTCATCAATGCAATTCCAAATACATTAAATATATGCAGAGAAGCAGAATCGGGACTTTTAGTGGAATAAGACTTAGCATATTAATTTCTACTCACATTCTGTGGAACAATAGGAAGATTATTTTTAGTTCATGGCCATTTGCTTCGTGACCCAGTGGAACAGGATTTCCCCCACACCCCCTGCCTTTTTCCCCTTTTTATGTAACCTAAGTTTATATTTCTGATGATTGCTCTGAAACTAGCAATTTCTGATTGATTCTTTTGAGCTAGTGTTTAATTTATTTTATGCTGTTAATATAGTTCTACATAAAGCCTCAAAGAAAGGAGGCAAAGTGACAGGTCTTCAAATGTTACAAAATACTGAGTTTAATCATTAGTATATAAACTGTGTATTTGAAGCCATAAAGCTGTACCCCTAGAGACTTACCTTTATGCATTTCAATAATTTTGTGAGACTAGTCAGTTTTGTAAAACCCAACAGGTTTGTAAGTGTCTATCAGATCAGGCAGCCTGCTTTCACATCTCAGTGCCACCAACTGGTTACAGGATTAATTAAAAATTGTGTTCAGGTTCGCTTCAGGTTCGCTAACTGCCCTTTGTCCCTCTTGGGGAAAGTGCTTAAAATTGCCTTCCTTAGGAAGGCATGGAAAGGTTTGCCCAGTAGAGGGATACTAGGACAAAATAAACTCAGCCTATGAAACCCAAGGGGAGCTATTATATGCTTCACACACTGGAAATCAGGGAATTCATTTAAGAACATGAATAAAATTCAGAAAATTGTTTTCAGCTACCACTTTCAGAAAACTCAAATTAAGTGGGTTGGACACTGGAAATGAAAGGAAGCAAGACTACCCCATTCTGGCAGGGGGTCTGTGAACACAAAACCATTTCCAGATTTAAGAAATACTTCAATTAAATTGTTTCTTAGTGTTCATTTCCAGTGCAAAAACCATTTTATTTTTTTCACTTTATATTACAACACAAAATAAATGTGGTGGATTTAGGCTAAAAGGCAATACTGGTATGACAAAAGTAACACCAAAATGCACCAAATTGAAAAAATAAGGGAAGGGGGAGGAGAAAAGAACAAAAGGAAAGGAATTTCTAACCAGGGCACTACATAACCTTCCTTAAATACTCTGTGTTATACTGAACAAGGTATCACTACACTCTCAGATTTCTCAGTAGATGTTCAACAAGAACTTCATCACCCTCAGCACCCTCTGGAAGATCTGGTCTTTACTCCCTACTCTCCACGCTATGAGTTGGATATTTGCAGCACCGCTTGCACTCCGGTTTGCTCTCTGCAGATGGGTTCTTGTCTCCTGTGCACAGAGTGGGGGCTCAGCCACAGGGTGAGCAAACCCAAGTGCTGCTGTGGCCAGACAGCAGCTCGTATTGCTCCATCCGCAGACAATGAGCAACCCGCATGACAAATGTGTTGGGAAATGAAGCAGCACTGGCTCTCATTAATTCTGATCCAGATTTTCATAAATGGAAGCAGACATCCTGGCCAGTCTGGCTTTGTCACATGGTCTTGTGCTGATGATGGACTTCACTCTGGGAGTCTTATTCCCTGTATCAGTGGGAACCAGGTGGATGGGAAAGGACGAGACTGCATTTGTCAGAGGAGAAAGGATGGGGTTTAGGCAGAGGCAAAGGCCACCAGAGAGACAGGAAAGTATCAGATTCAAAGAAAATTACTCATTCAATCCTAACAACTAGAGAAAGGGTAACACAATGCCAATTTCTGCTAAGGTGACAATGAGAAGCCAAAAATTCCCCATATTTGGTTCATTAGCAAAGGAAACTGAGGGCTCTTCATGAATGGCAGAGGAACATAAAGGAGCTTCTTTGTGGCATGGCTTTTCACAACACTGC